CCCCCCCGGGCAGCCCCCCCCCCCCACCTCTTAGTAGACAAACCCCACCTGAAATGGAGGAGGTTTATGGCAGTTGAGTGCCCATTCACACTGATATGTAACATAGATACCAGGGTGCATTGTGATGCAAATAATTTTGAATGGTGCCCCAATGCACTAATGAAATGCACCTGCACTGCAGTGCACCACAATACAAAGTAACACATATATCATATAGTATGTTGTGGTGCGCTGCATCTGAAAGAAAAGGCACATGTCTGATTTTGCGTAAACTGTGGTTTGTTTGTAGACACATCGCAAGTTAATGCAATAGACATCTAAAACCTATGTGGCTTACTTGTAGCGCTAAAAAAAACAATAATAATAACAAAAGGGCACATTTTCATCCTCTGTGAAAGAATACAAAAATAAATCTTTAGAATGACAGACATAGTAGCATAGTATGTAAGGTTGAATAAAGACCAGGGTCCATCCAGTTTAACCTATGCCTGAGTGCTAAAGAAAATAAGAAAGATTCCAAAATATTCTGGCAGCAAATAACTGTAAAAAAATAACATCATACCATGATGACCCCAAAGAGTTATCCCATTGACTTTGGAGAGAAGGAATCTGAACTGTGCTTAAAAATTGATTTTTGCCTCCCTTTGTATCAACTACAGCCTTAGGTTATAAGTTAAAGTTGTGTGCCTTTTTTTTTAATTAATAGAACTATTTAACAGCTGGCTGTTAGACACATTTCACTTCCGTAGGCTAACAGTCTGAAGAGCATGAGGTTGTGACCCTTAGCCTGGAATGCTTACTGTAGGATGTGCTTTTCATTGTACAAAGTATTTAATGTTTCTGTCAGGCTGTAGAGTCTGGGTCTAGGTTGTTGCTAACAGAAAGATGAGGCCATTAAACTTCAAACCTTTTTGTAGGCGTTATATAGAGGAGCATGTATACTAAACTTGTATAGTAGGGTACATACATACAAAAAAAAATACTTTACACATTCTTTGTACCACTAAATATGTTATTGACATGTGTGCAGTTTGTACCATTGAATATATGAGAATATCTAAGAGTACAATGTTTACAGTGTTTTATCTAGAAGAGCTTTAGAGCCCAGGTCTCTAAGCTATCTCTCTCTTCGTGGGTATGCCTTGTCTCCAGTGTGAGTGTCCACACTGCGCAAGTCAGTCAATGCTGTCTTTAACCTCTCGGAGGTATTAGAGAAAAAGAAAGTGAAGGGATTCAACTTGTATCTTCTAGTCCTGTATTCTTCTACAAAGCGTGCCAACAACTGTGATACAGTAGATTCAAGGGGTATTTGCATGCTTTGCGATATTCAGCATCAATCCAAGTTAAAAGTTCAACACTAAGAATTTCCAGTTCCAGCATAGTTAGCTGTGTTGAATTTATAGTAGAAGTAATATGGATAGATGTGTCTCCTACTGGTACCCATAAACATGTGATGATCAGTGCTTGATAATCAGTGGATAAAGGACAGCATCTATGGGCATACTGCTTCCTTGTAGACTTTTCCAGGTCAATCCATCTCATGATTAAAAAAAAATCAATGAAAAATGCATTTTCCAGGACAATCACAATTCCCCCCCAAAAAGGCTTGGGCCTGGGATACCTTCTGAATCTATTATAAAGCATGTATAGCCATGTATGTTTATGCCACAGGTGTTTTGCAGAATAGTCTCATGGCTGTCAGGTCTAGCCTAAACATCTTCAATCCAAAATGCATCATGTACAAAAAAAAACACGGAACCTTTCCCCCTATTTTAACCATTTATTTTTAAACACATTACTACACATGTATTCCAATCAGCTAATACATTCACCAGTATAGGTATTTTTATTTCACAAGAAGTCTTTACAACCAGCATTGCTAGTGCTTTACAGCCATACAGTGTTTCTTCTTGAAAGTTCAGTCAATTAAGAAGTGGGAGAATGCTATTTAGCTGTATCACCCACTGGCTCCAGATATCTGTTAAGCCTTCCCCTCTTCCTTACTAAACATGCGCGTGCTGATTTACTAAAGGGGTTGGAAATCTTCTCTTAATAAATTGTGTGAATATTCCGTTTATCCAAACTTGTGGAAAGCAATCTTTTTTACTTTCCTCATCTGCACATGCCTTCTCTCCAGCGCTGCGGCGGTTGTCGGATCCAACGCTGACTCCCCTCTCCTTGCTTGCACTTCCTATCCCACGGTGTCTGCATACGGGTACACGCGCCCATAGACTTACCTTGCGTCTCTCCTCGTCTCCTGGCCGAAAATCCAAACTGCACATGCCCCCGCCCCAAGAGGCTTTGCGGCCACCCGGGCAGTTTCGGATTCTCGGGCATGAGCGCACGGCAAAGACAGGGTACGTTTAAACTGCTGTTAAAGCAAGGTTTTTTTAACTTTTGCATATATATATCTACTGCTTGCTAGCGTGAGATATATGCAAAAAAAACAGAGGGTTTAGAAACCCTTTAATGGGGAGGAGGGGAAAGATTAACAGATAATCGGGAGCAAGTTGGTGATGAAGCTTCATAGCAGCCATCCATGTATAACAACATAAGTTTTGTTATGCAAAAACATTTTTATTTAAAGCTGTATTCAATATATCTTGCTGAGGTGAAAAAATAACTAATAGGCGAAATGGGATACCCTCCTTTCCTGTAGGAAATGCCTCTCCAGGCTGCCTTCAGTGCTGGACATAAAAGCATAAGCCTAGTCATGTGCTCACATGATGCCTGTTAAAGAGGAAGATGGAGTTTAGATTGGCTGATCTTTCGCTTCAGCAGAGATTATTTAACCAAATGCCTAGACTTTTAGATGTGACCAGCAATACAGGAAGATTTGAGCCACATTTTCTTCTGGAAGGTAAATGTTTCCAACCTTCTATTACTTCTTATCCATGTATTCCAACAAGACTGATAACCTAGCTAAAGCAACATTTATGTATAGTTCTGCTTTAGAGTACAGCCGTCACAAACCTGTGCAATTTAACTTGAGAATATGATATCATTGAGCACTTGAGGTTACTGTCTGTAAAAATTGATCAGTAAACCTGGAGGTATAGGCAGCTGATATCTTAAACTCTATAAAAGCTTCCCTGTTGCCATGCCCCTGCCTCCTGAGCCTCCCTATTGGCCTTTGGCGGGAGGCTTCATTCACCAATAGGGTGGCTCGAGAGATTTCCTAAATCCCTAGATCCGCGATGTGGTTTTCATTAAAAAGAATCTTAATATTTTTATTATAGATATTTTTACTTAAAGTATGCAATGT